GCCTATTCTTTTTCTTCTTCTTCTTCTTCTTTTTCTTCTTCTTCTTCTTCTTCTTCTTCTTCTTCTTCTTCTTCTTCTTCTTCTTCTTCTTCTTCTTCTTCTATCTATCTATCTATCTATCTCTCTATCTCTCTATCTCTTTATCCCTCTATGTATCTATCTGTTTGTCTGTCTGTCTGTCTGTCTGTCTGTCTGTCTGTCTGTCTGTCTGTTTGTCTGTCTGTCTGTCTGTCTTATCTTGCCTTATCTTATCTGTCATATCTTATCATATCTTATCTTATCTTATCTTATCTTATTGTATATTATCGTATCATATCTTATTTTATCTTGTCTTATCTTTTCTTGTCTTATCCTATCTTATACTATAATAATATCTTTCCTTTGTCATAACTATTTATTCAATCGTTTCTTTTTCCAGTAATGTTTTAAAATCTTTCTTTTCATTTTACCCTCACAGTCCCCCCTCCTGAGGCTTCAGAAATCTACATTACTAGACCTAATCAATCTGATGAAAAGATACAAAACTTGTCCAGTCCAGTCCGAGTGACCGCTGGTCACACAACGACCCTAACATACCTTCACATATCTTCACCTGTTTCCCTCACATAGATTATCTTAATTTTCACCCTGTTCCCTCATATAGATTAGCATAATCTTCACCTTAATCTTCACCAGTTTCTCTCTCATTCATTAGCTGAACCTTTACCAATTTCCCTCCCATAGGTTATATAGTTTAATCTTCACCCTTTTCCCTCACATAGATTAGCTTTATCTTCGTCTGTTTCCCTCTCATAGATTAGCCTAATCTTCAAGTGTTTTCCATCCTTATATTAGCTTAATTAATCTTCACTGGCATCTTTGGTGTTTGATAGGGGCGTTAAACTTATAAAAGGCCAACACATGAATTACTCTTCGCTGATGACCAAAGCCTGACACACAAAGATGAACGAAGTCTCTAACACCATACCACCAGATTAAACGAAGAATGACTTAGAATGTAACAACTACGACATGAAGATTAACATCAACGAAACAGAGACAATGAAAGTAAGCAGAAAGCCAGAACCACTCCGGATACACATCAACAACAACAGTCTCAGACAGGTCCAAGAATCTAAGTACATCGGAAGTATATTCACAGAGGATGGGCGACTGAACAGAGAAATTGAAACACGAGTACAAAAGGCCAATAATGTTAGTTACCAGCTTACTCTACTACTGAAACATCCTAACATCCCCATGACAACAAAACTCAAAATGATCAACACCATATTCATCCCAGCACTCACCTATCAATGCCAAACATGGACCACGAACAAGACATTAGAGCAAAGAATTACAACATGTGAAATGCGATGCCTTAGAAAAGCAGTAAACAAGACCAGGCGAGACAAAATTAGAAACTGTGTAACCCGAGAAATGGTGTGCACGAATGATGTCATGCATCACATCCAACACCAAACAATCAAATGGTTCGGACATCTCCTACGATTACCAACACACCACCCAGCACAACGTGCCTACCTCCAAAAATTCGATGGCAACAAGGCTAGAGGGCAACCGAGAAAGACCTGGATAGATGAAGTCTGGGAGACATTAACCAGCCACGGCATCCCCCTGACCCAAGCTCTCCGGCTGGCGACTGAGAGACATCTCTTTCTTCCCGCGGCACCTAAAAGGGTATAAGAGGCGGATAAAAGAAAGAAAGAAAGAAGTTAAACTTATACCATGTCACCATTTCACCATCTGTGATTGGGGGCTTTGCTGTCGCACGCAATAGGCCTGAGTTCGATTCTCGAGGGGGAGAAATTTTTATTGAGTATCTCGGTCTTTTTGATGGGATTTGCAAGTATCCCCCCTCAGTCCAGGTTGGCCCTGGCAGGCAGGTCAGGATCCTGCCTCCTCAATCATCTAAATTGTGTTGATGGGGTAAGAACACACCTACATATTTTTTTTTTTTTTTTTAATGTAGTCTTCCCGTGTCTCCCTCCTGTACAGATAAACCCCAAGGGTGTGACAACGTGGAGATGATCGAGGGGTTTGGATCACTGGGCAATGACGCCAACATCTCTGTCTGTGTCATCGCCTTCCCTGAACCTTATGACATACAACTGTCTCATGGTGAAAGTTAGTCCTTTATCTCCTTTGATGAGTTACATAGTTCTTCATTTCTTTTGATTGTTTTCTGCATAGACTTGAAATATGATAATATCTTAGACTGGGTGCTGTCATGGCTGCCCATAGACTTGAATTATAGTTATGACTATTATTATTATTATTATTATTATTATTATTATTATTACTGTTGTTATCATTATTACAACAAGATACAGACCCGTTCTTCGAACGGTGATATAACATAGGAAATCCCAAGATAAAATGTTTGTGGTACAGCGCTTGCCCTGGATTTTGATGCCCTGTTCATCTTGTTCACCGCACCCAACTGAAGCATGGGCGAGAGCATTTTTATATGACCTACTGTGTGGTAAGAAAGAGCTGCTGCTCTGTGTTACACCGTAATACTTTATTATTAGTTCCTGCAGGAGTGCGGGAGGTACAGGTATACTAAATTTGCTATTTTAACAGCAGAATGTGTTTCTCTCTTCTCTCCATCTTATGGCATTGCAATGTTCACAGACGACACTGAATTCACCACAGCCATGTGTCCGTAAATCTCCAATCAACTTCAGTTTCACTAAATGACTGTGCGTTGCACGCTAAGGCCAACATTGGACCATTCTTTCTTGGCCTATCACGCTCAAGGTCTTCCTCCAGATTCTGACTATCAAAACGTAAATTCTGATTGATAGTCGCCTTTCTCCGTTTCATCTTGCTTTCACTTCTGTTCGGTTGGATTAAACAAACTCTATGTTTAGGGGCATCTTACGACATTATTAACTAATATTCCATGGGCATCTTTATTCCGAACAGATCTGAATCTAGATTGACCACTTCTTGCTTACTACTCCAAATCAGTCTTAAATTCTGTGCTGCAAATGCATATAGGATAGGCTTATAGAGATCTAGATCCAAAGCCTTGCTCTATGAAAAGCTATGCAGAAAATACGCTCTAAATTCTGAAAACGTCAATACAGCAAAGTGAACATTTTGTGAGTTTAAACGAACTCAACATGTTGGGGACATCACTACACCAAATATATGTGGGTGGTTGGTGGGTGCTCTGGTCTTGTTTGCTGCTTCTTTTTTCCTATGAAACATCTGTGGTCCTTATCTTCCTTTCTTCTTTTTTATGTTTGTTCCTCTCTCTTGTAACACCTCTAATCTTCTGGCATTCATATGACCTTATGTAGTTGCAAGCGCCTTAAAATCTCTACTAAAACTAAACTAAACACCAAATATATCTAGAAAAAGTCAGTTCAGTGAAGTTTGACCTGCGAAGCACACATCCAAACAGAGTCGGATATCGAGATTCTAGATTTGGAAATAGTAGAAGCAGCTTTGTAAACACGAAGTAGAATTCTGTGGCACACACACAGGACAAAGCACAAACCGCACTTCTGTTCTTGCTTACTACTCCAAAATCAGTCTTGAAATAATATATGCTCCAAATACATCTAGGTATAGAGAGACCTTGATCTAGAGTCTTGCTCTATAAAAAAAAAGTGCACTCTAAATCCGCGCCAAATTTTGAGAACGTCAATATAGCGGAGTAAACATTTTGTGGGTTTACACAAAAGTCAATTCAATGAAGTTTGGCCCGAAGTATCAAGTAGCACATCGAAGCACACATCCAAACAGAGTTGGATATCGAGATTCTTGATCTGGAAATTGTAGAAGCAGCTGTCTCACACACACGACAAAGCACAAAACGAAACGGAAGTAGTCCCCTATAAAATATGAAATGGCTAATGGCAGAGTGAAGGAGAGTTTCGATTTACTGGAAAAAACCCATCAAACCTGTAAAATCAAAAGGTAGCTTCCGAACATTGAAAATATGCCAACGTAATCCTTTGTGACAATTTTTAACTGAATTATATTTTTTTTAGATTTTATGGACACCTGTGTAAAAAATGTATACTGACCTCACAAACGGGCTTAACTCCATTATAATAAGATTATTATTATTATTA